AACAAAAATTTCAATAACTATGGTTCATAATATGTACTGTGTACACCATGCGTAACAGTCATAGTTTTAAAAAAATAAATCATGTCCAGATTTCGCTTTTTTACTATTTTATTATATGTAATTTTTTAGTTTTTATTAACATCACTAATAGCATCCATAGCTGTGGATATCTATAATTGCATTATGTTTCTATAAGATTTTTAAGGTATCTGAATACTATATATATATATATATATTATATATATATATATAATACTATTTAGTCCTGCTTTATTGTCTAAATAAATTTTTATACTCACGAAATTGAATACATTTTACAATCAACAAATCCAAGCAATTAGAATTGAGTTTATAAATTAAAAAAAACATCGTGGCTTTGTCTTTGTCGATATAAGTTGATATAAATTAGTCTACACAATAAAAAAATAACCTATTTAATTTCTCTCAAATCCATAAAGCCGCTAAAAATAAATTCACTCACAAACATTCGCATTTATAAAATCGGTGTGAACCTATAATTTATTATATAAATATTTATATTGGATTTATTTCACTTCGGTACATGAACTCGAAGGCACAGTGTTAGACCAACTTACTGACTTACTGACTCAGGACCACAAGAGGACAGACCTGTTATCCGTCACAAACACAATATCAGTGCAAATTAAATAATCACATTATACATATATCTTTCGCGCGTACATCTTCCATTGGAATAAATTGAAACACTTTATACTACTTAACGTAATCGGTCTATGTCATCGAGTTCAACCTACGCATTATACAGATTATGACTGTATTATAAGATACAGGGAAAAGTTTTTTTGTAATTTTTTTCACTAATAAAGTAAATAAGTTTTATCAAAATCCGTAATGTAAAAGTCATATCAGCGCAAAATTGTGGCAAGAATACTGCATTTCCCCGTTGAATGGCAAAGCCAATCTTTGGGCGAAAAACGACCCAGCTCTCTTGTCACTAGTACTTCGATAAGAAGTGTTATGTATATTAAAAAAGTATTTAGTGCTTTGATTACGAGGGCAAATGATTTCTATAACAAATGTTATAAACTATAAAAGTATAATTTTGACTATGGGAGGCGTATTTACGCAATATTAGCCTATTCCGTAAAGGCCCCCATTATACACACACGTGCACAAGTAGACAGTACTAATATTAATAATTTGCTAACTAAACTCAACTCAACTCTACCCAACTAATTGCTTCGGTGGTCTTATGGCTAAAGCATGTACGGTTTAAGATGCCGAGTCTCGGGTCCGGCCAAGTTTAGTCTCTCACTGGTCTCTCATTGAGTATGAGAGTGACAGGAACAGTGTGTCTGCGCTCTCTCTCACACGCGCTGCACTATAATATCTCCTGCGCAGTTGGCTAGTCGCAATGAGATTGGCCGCCGTGGCTAAAACCAGTCAAGAGGATATTCTTATATCATTAATTCCTCAAATATCATTGCTTTTATACAGCCTTTTGAACCAGTTTTTAAAATCCCTTTAAAAGTAATTATTATACCCCCAAGAGCGATTTTTTTTAATTATCCAAATTGTCGCGTAACTTATGTAAAAACGTACAATCGAATTAAGTAGCACCTCCTTTTACGAAATTAGTCAATAAACAAGGTTTTTTCATGAACAGATAAATTGAAATGAAGTATAATATGTAGTTACAGGAATGCATCTGACAGATACAATCTTTTCCTTATATTTATTTGCTATTATTGATCTATTTGCATGATTAACTTAGTTCATGTTTGGATCATTATTTATTAATAATATCTTCTGTTCAGGTGTTTTTGATTTTCCTTTATGTGATAAATTATAGAGTACGCTCATAGACTATACTATTTCAAAACAAACATTTTCCTTAAAATATTTTTTAATTATTAATGCGATAGCTCGCGATTGAGCGTGTGTATTTATGACTTCTCATATCACAAAATTTGAATTCTACACATGAAAATATGTATAATTAAGATAAAACTTCATATGCTCAATAACTAGTATTAGCCCAGTTATTTGGTATATTAAAAATCCTGTAACTATACTTTTAAAAGAGCGACTGCCTTACGAGTTAATAGTTGCTTCGCCACGGACTTACAACACTGACTCCCTTTAAAATTAGTTGAAAATTCAAAAGTCCATATGAAAGTATAGTTAAATAAAGTTAATTTTGATATTTTAGGACAGGAGTTAAAATCGACCTCCAAGATTCATGAACTTACAAGTGAAATTAATGAAAAAACCAACATTCATACAGACGAACATAGAACCTCATTTTTTTGGAAATCGGTTAAAAAGTATGTCTTTGTCGGTCTTCTGCCGTAATTGATGTACATGAATGCGATACGTAACATTGTTATGGTGAACTACGATGTAAGAATAAGAATGAAAAAGCAACAAACACGCTTCCGCATTTGCATTATTAGTAGTGATGATGAATCTTACGTTATAATTGTTTCAATCCAATAAAGTATTATAATTCTCTACAACATTCATATAAAGAAATAAATGCAAATATTTATAAATAGTATTGATAATAATTGTTCACTTGCAAAGTATTTAAGAATTCCATTTTATTTATTCCTACTAGCATTGCCCGCGGCTCCGCCCGCGTTCAGATGACCAAAATCCAATTCTTAGGTTTTACATATTAGTATACTCTTACATTTCAGTTTTTGTATTGTTTCTCAGAAATGAGACATTTTCCCGCGGTAAAAAGTATCCTATATGTTGACCCGGATAACCAGCTATGACCATACCAAATTTCATCAAAATCCCTTTAATGGTTTTTCTGTGATGCGGTAACAGACAGACAGATCAAAAAATTTTTAAAAACTGTAGATTCGGTCTCTGTATCCATAATAATGTTTATTTCAATAAGATTTTCCAAAAAATATTTAATGTACAGATTCGGCTTTGTTACAATTTTATTATATGTATAGATGTATAGATATATTAAAAAAAAACATTCTATCTTTTTTGCGGCTTTCAACGTACATGAATTATCTATTTAGATAATAGACATTGAAATAATCGTAACCCTTAAGTATTAGTATAGAATTGTTATCTGTATCTTAGGGAAAAAATATCTTGTTTTAAAAGATTATCTTGCTAGGTAGAATAATCTTAAAAGTCGTCGTATTGTAGGCAATTATATATGTATCTTTCCGTATATAAAACTTTAAAAGATTTTCCATGACAAAGCATTATATTTTGTTCCATTCTTTTTATTTAAAAGAATATTGAAATTGTAATGTAAATTAAAAGCCTGAATTCCTTTGATTACTTTTTCTTCATTTTTGAACACCGTGAACTACTTAGGTATTCTATACCTACATATATTAAATTCTGAATCGAATTTTTACATTAAATATTTTTGGAAAATCTTTACATAATATATGTCATTAGTGATACAGAAGTAGAATGATAGCTGGTTATCCGGGTCAACATATAGGTTATTTTTTACTGCGGGAAAATATCTCATCTCTGAGAAATCTATACTAACCTTTTAACTTCAGATTTCATAATTTGTTTTTTTCTTCACTTAGTAATTCATTTTTTTTGTTGACCTTTTTTTTGTGTTTTTATTTTATTTTATAGTGTTTTTTTGTTAAATTTTTAATTTCATGTTTTTAAAGTTTAAACTAAATTATCATGTTTACTCTACCTGTGACATATTTATAAGTGGAAACTTTGCTAGTGTGTAAATGTTTTTAGTTTAAAATTATTTTTATGGATTATTTCACTGTTTGTTTCCCTAAAATAATAAATAAATAAAAAAACTTAGGTACCTAGTGACGAACCCGAGGACGAGCGAGGGTCAGCCGCTAGTTGTTTAATAAAGTTAAAGAAAGATTGATAAAAATATGTCAGTATATATTATAAAAATTCACGCGGACTTTTAATAGTTAATTAAAATGAAATCGGTTGGAACATTACAATAATTCAATCCATCACAATTTGTTTAAAATTTATTTGTACTATAGCGTTTGGTAAATTAATAATTACACAATAGACATGCAGATTTTTAGTACTTAGAGAATTCAAAATTTTCTAAGAGAATACAAAAGTATTTTATACTAGCGACTCACTCTCGCTTCGCTCGGGTTCGTCCCTAGATTGCTTCCCCATACAAACTTTCATCCCCATTTTCATCCTCTTAAGGGATGATTTCTGGGATATATCCTATGTCCTTCCCAGTGTCTCAAACTATCCTCTTACCCAATTTCATCTAAATCGATTCAGTAGATCCAGAGACTACCCCCTACAAACTCACATACTCACAAACTTTACCGCTTTATAATATTAGTATAGATTATAAGCCTGACTAACTGCGATCTGCCTTTGTTTCATTTCTGTCCTCACAATAAAACTCATAAAACTTTTATCCTCTATCCCGCATGAACTCTTACCTTTTTCATAGATTTAAATAATGTTATAGTACTACTGATGCACTTTTCCGCTGTATCCTCTGTCTATCATTGAAAGTGTTCTTATAATCGATTCTTCGCTACTGGAGATTCTTGGATATAAAAGGCAGTAAAATTTCGATCGGATTTACTGACTCTAGGGTGACTGAATTAAAATCGTAGACAGACGCTCTTTTTACCCAACTACGGCGACGCCCAAAGAAGGGTTATGTGTTAACGTGTATGTATGTATGTCTGTCTGTCTATCCGATCCTATGTTTCCTTGTAATTAATAAACGGAACAATCGATTTTGATGATTCATACGTCGCTCGATTCGTCTTGGTAACGCGGGTGTCATAGGCTATATAGATATCATTCAAATAGCGGAACCTAGGCGCCAATTTGTGTGCCTTGAAAAAAAAATATACCTACATATATTCTCAAAATTTTATGTATATTTATAAACCTAAATATACTCCGTTAGATTCCAAAGTAAAAACTGAATTAAATTTGTGACCCTTAATGGATATTACTTTAGTGAATCTACAAATTTTCTTTTCAGATACAACGAAGTAAATATGTACAAGCTTCTATTTGTCGTTACTGCCGCCGCTTTTGTGGGAGCTGATCCTCATCACGGCAATCCACATGAGGTAGGTATAGCTTACTGTAGCAAGTGTCGACATGTCCATCGTTTTTTATGGAGGACGCATGTGAAAAACAGTAATAATTCAGCCCCTTTAATTTCCCATTGTCGGACACCATGTCATATCCCATATGAGATACTTTTCTATCTGTACATTCTGAAAAGAAATTATATTGAAAATGTATTTTGAAAAATCTTCATATTCTTAAGAAATGTACGATTGAACAAACCAAATCGGTATATAAAATAAATTGAATAAAACAAAATATCCAAAGCTTTTTATATTGCTACAATTTAAAAGTCATGGAAGTCTTTGAAGACTGGTGTCTTTAAAATGACCATTATATACTATGTAGGTGTATATTTGTTTATTTGAAATTATTTTACATGAGTAAATTTTTAAAATACAAAGTTACGTAATTAAACCATTTAATTTAATTTAAATTGTACAACTGGTTTTAGTAAGATTTATGAATGTGGTGGTTCGATTTATGATATTAACATATTCAACTGACCTAGTTCAATGTTTTACTTCAACATAAACAAGTCATGCGATACTTAATACGTTATTAGAATAAAGCTATGGTATAAACATCTATACATATAATAAAAGTGTAATTGATCGCTGTCTGTACATGAAAGTTATTTGAGAAAATCTATTATTGGGGGTCTTTAGGCAATAGAACCCAAAACCATGATTTTTACAATATTTGTGTATTAGTCTGTGCCTTTGTGAACGCTAATCTCAGAAACGGCTAGACAGATTTGGGTGCGGTTTTCACTAGTGTATTGTGGAGAGCTTTACTTAATATTTAGTATTTATTTTATATCAATCGGTTCATAAACGAATAAAGTTATGTCAATTTAAAAATCATTATTGGTAATAGAGTTGGTATTTGTTTAAAAGCGGTCCATGTTAGTTTTAGTGACAGCTACTTGGACAGTAAAGAACTATAGCCAGTGACTACTTGTAGGTGCTTTTTTGCACACGCATTTTAGAACTTAGATGGAGATTATTATTGACTAAGGGTAAAAATAGTAATTTTTACATTCATTTTTAGTGACATTATGTATATTATAGGATTAGAATGCAAATAAGAAAAATGAAACCATGATTATACTTATTACTTCAATTGTTATTATTACTTACGTAACATATTTAATGGAGTATGAAAAACAAATCATGTTTGGTTTTAGCCAGCAGTCACTCTAGGTCCGAGGCCGCTACGTGCGATCGTGCGATTGGCAAGCCCTGACGGACGTGATGTCCATGGTAACGTGACCTTCACCCAGGAGGACGATAAAGTGCGAATACAGGGCAGGGTGTATGGTATGCCCCCAGGGGAATATGGGTTCCACGTTCACCAAACTGGTGATATTACTGGAGGATGTTTGTCCACTGGACCACATTTCAACCCTGATATGGTAATTGGTTTTGTAATATGGTAAAGTTAAAATGTGGGGGTTATATTAATTACGATCTGAGAAATTATATGTGTAATTATAATCCCTCAACGACTGCTATACAGTAACATAATAACTTAACATAAAACATACAGTAAACAACAGATTTCTTATGCCCGATTTCACCAACAACCCATAAGCTACTACCTACGTATGGGATCCCTAGCTTAAAAGTCCCCTAAACTAGCCCCTAAATTAAATTCCGTTTTACGAGCACCTAAATTTAGGGGGCCTTTTAACATTTAGGTGACCCCTAACTGTAGGTGAAACAGAAACAGCCCCCTAACTATACTTAGGGGATCCCTTAAACTTAGGTGACGTTGGTGAAATCGGACATTAGTAATTTAATTAATTTCTTAGAAATTTGTCTGGAGGTGTTAATATTAACAAGCGATGGAAAATTTTTGATCTATGCCATATTCTGCAGTAATAGTATAGGCCTTGGATATAATAGGCTTGAATGCACGCGGGAAATAAATATGCATGTATTTCGACCGCACCACATCTGTTTCGGTTGAACAAAAATTATTAATGGAATCAACCATTAAATATCGTTTAAAAATGAAGTGGAAAAAAAACGCTGACATGTTTTTCTTTCTTTTCTTATCTATCCATTGACCCGATTTGTTTAAAAAAGGCTGTAATTTTTATTTAACAGAAAGACCATGGGCACCCGGAGGACGAGAACCGTCACGTAGGAGATCTTGGTAACATTGAGTTCGATTCGGATCAACTCAGCAATATTGACTTCACTGACAATGTTATTGCTTTGGAAGGTCCACATAATATCTTGGGCAGGGCTATAGTTCTTCACGCTATGGCTGATGACTTCGGCAGAACTGATCATCCAGACTCTAAGAAGACTGGGAACGCCGGAGGACGCGTCGCTTGCGGTGTGATCGGCATCTTGTAATTGTCTTACTTTACTTTGGGTTATATGCATTTGAAAATCAATAATCTTATTAAAATCAACAGAAATTTTATTACGTCCGCTGTATTTTTTCATGTATATCAAATATATATTTCATATATTTGATATTAAATTCGCATTTCACATGTTTTGTGTATATAATCTGTACGACGATCCAGAATATTTCTATTTAGTTTATATTGTTTTTTTTCTCTCTCTCTCTCCTTTTCTTTTTTTTCATACGATATACTAAAACGAAATTAGAGTACAAATATTACTTTAAGATTTTTATAAATTTTGTATTCACCGATGAACTCTTTCTTTATTGTGATTTAATTATAAATAAAATATTTTGCTAATTTTTGCCCTTTTTCTGCGTCCATGAAATGTCGAAGGACTTTGTTATACTTATTAGTTCCTCACATAAAGCTAAGTTAAATATCATAGAGTTTTACTTGAGACTTTTATAATAATTTTATGTACTTTAAGGAATTTTAAAATTAAAAGACGAAAAAAAGTAGCACAGAAGCTTCATAATTTAACCCCTCCACGACCGCGGACACGCCGGCGTGTCAGTTAACAATAGATTTCTTAGAATTTTAATTAATTTCTTAGAAATTTACCTGGAGGTGTTAAATCCAAATGAGCAAAGCATGTTAGCATTTCATTAGTAACAAAAATATAAACAAAACGATATATTAAACGCAAATAATCAAATTCCGTTAGAAAACAAAATATCAAGGTTTATTACTATTTATGAAGAACGATGCTGGCAAGATTTGGAAATTTAAGATTTTTAGAATAATTTAACGCTAAGTTAATTTTAAACACAATAACCTTATCCATGTACATTCGTCTACAGAAGGCCACTGTATAGGGACGTGCGAAGGGAAACGCGATGACACGATATCGACTATCATTATACTTACCCGTGGGAATGAGATAATCTCCCGCGGTAAAAAGTAGACTATGTCACTCGCTAGCCTTTCAAGTATCTCCACGCAAAAAAACGCTAATTCGTTACTCTGTTTCGACGTGAAAGAAGGACAAACAAAGAATCAAACACACTTTTACATTTATAACATTAAAGTAATAAATACGGATATGCATGACATTCGGGAAACGGCTTTAGGGTCGACGGGTACATATAATTGCAATTTGTCACAAGATGGCACTATGGCGTTTTAACTCTGAAACTGTTTAACTTTAGAAACAACCATGTAAAAAAGTACTTTTAACAACCCTGGCATTTGATAGCATTTCTTTTAAAATCAATAGTCGATCGCGTACTATATAAATTTTAAAACTATGTTTTTATAATAGACTAGCGACTCACACTCGCTTCGCTCGGGTTCGTCCCTATGTATGTATGTATATCAGTGGGGAAGGGTGAAATGTTGGCTCTATCTCTTTATAATATTAGTATAGAATATAATAGATACGCATGTTTTAACATCGTGTCATAAAGTCCGCTAGAAAAACTATATCAAGGTTACCGCTTTAAATTGTGACAAGTATCAGATACCATAATTGAATCTTTAAAAGAAAAAGAAACTTTAATGCTAAAACAATTTTTTTTATTCACAGGTATATACGTTTATAATAGTAACTCGTTTGTAAATCTAAAATTATCATGTTCAGAGTATTTTGTGACAGTTAACTGAAAATATAAAAAAGTTAGCCCACTATTGGCATGAACGATTTAAATCGATTAAATATTTAGGAACTCACTCTACTTAGAGCTGATTTTTTACAATTTTTCTATATTTTTTTCATTATTATTCTTATTGCTCATAATGACTAATAAGTATTAAAAAAACTGCAATAATAGATAATAAATATGCCAATATATAACTTTACGTATAAAATAAAATTGGTAGCAATAAGATTTAGTTGCAAAAGATCATTTTGATTGTTACTTCTTACAAATATATCCTGTGAAGAAACGAGTTGTTTATTTCCACTCGGCCTGACCTCGCTTAGACTTGACTTCCTACCTGCGACCTCATATCAGTATTAGACATATATCCATGGTCATGGTTGTTGACATTTTTGTTAGAGATTTAACATTATTGTTTATCAACCAAAGTTAAAGTAAACTCGTTAATTCTACGTGAGACTATCGAATTAATTGTGTTAAACTGGCACATCTTTAGTAGTGGTCTACTTACTTCTTCGTATCGTATATATTTATACTTTTTTGACGACACGTTTGGCTCAGCTTGTAGTGACCCTGCTTGTTGTGCCAGTGGGTTTGAATCCCGCTGGGGGCATTCATTTGTGTGATTAGAACGAATGCTTGTACTCTGGTCAAGGTTTTTTTTATTTATAATATGTATCTATTTAAAGTTATATTTGTGTAGTGTATCAACTATCTGGTATCCATAACACAGGCCTCGTAGCTTACAATGGAGCTAGATGGTGGTGTGTGTTAATGTCCCAACATATTATTATTACATATTATTTACTAGTCCTAGAAAAAGAATAGACGTCCATTTTTAAAATATACATTTTAATACATTATTTAATTATTCAAAAGCAATAATAAACAAATTAATGAAAATATTAAAGTAATTTTTGAAATAACACTTAATACTTTAAAATATAAAATAATAAAGCAACTATTATAATTACACAAATATTATAATAATGATGCAAAGATTACCTGATAAGTATATCTGATGATTCAGAGCACTTATGGGCAAAGTGCCGGGCTCACCACCGAGTCTTCTGATTTGTCGAAATTAATAGCAGAGGTATTTATACCCGATTGACGTAGTAGGAGATACAGCTAACAACTGTTAAATGACATTTTTATAAAAATATGAAGGTAATCTAAAAAAACTCAATAAAATACATTTCATCTCCCACATATACATATTTTATATTATTCAAATAAACGTGGATAGAGCAATTCGAAATTTACTGAATAATGAAAAATGTTCAAAATACGGTTCAATTGCACGGGGCATATCATAAATGCAGAAGACTGTGTACTCAAGATATATTATACAAGAGCTCTCTCTACTCTATTACTCTGGCCCTGATATTCCGGTGGAGTCTCAACTAGACCTTCGCTTTGCAAGAGATCAGACGAAGGACCCAACATACTGGCACTTTCCAATTTCGGACCGTCCAGTAACTGTTTTGGCCTGACCCGGGACTCGAACCTTATAATCAGCAACTGTCAGCTTGCTACTAGACTAACGAGGAAGTTAAAATGAAGGCTTATAAAAATACGGAATATATTTACTAACCATAGATATTTTATTTATACCATCTAAAGTAGAAGGAAATGTTTGGGGTAACCTTGTTCTACATCTACAATAACTTTGGACGGTCATAATGAGTTTTAAATTTTATTTTAATTTTCCTTAATCGTGCCAGTTATAATAAACATAAGAATGATTCTGAGACGATATTTTAAATAAAAAAGTATATATGTTTAAATAAAATCATAACAAACATCGTGCATTTTATATACATATTTGTACAGGATATAGGTTTAAACGTTAATAAAATTTAGACATTACGAGTATTAATTATCTTGGATTATTTTCACCTCATCTACAAATGTAATTATTTTAAATGTCTGGTTGATGTAATGGCGATACGGCTATAGATTTAGAGGTCCTAGGTTCGAGTCGTTTATGGTTATTGGGATTTTTTGTCCAGAATTCTCGGTAGGGCCGAAGTTGGTACGTTGGATATGCTATACCACGGTAGTATTACATACAGTATTCCATCTTCATACAAACGGTCGGAAATCGATACAAAGGGTCACATACCACCCTTATAAATTTGAGATCTTTTAATTAAATCTACTAATAATAGTTTTTAAATGAAAAGTATACTTAATATTTGAAATCACAAAATTAGAAAGAAACTCAAGTAGGTAGATGAAATTAAAATACTGGCCGGCGGGCACTCGGGCAGCCCTGTCGCGTGGGTACGAGCCGCTCGGCTGTAGGCACAGAAATCTTAATAATATTACCTTATTATTAAGATTTCTGTGGCTGTAGGTAATTATTTCAAGGACAGGCCCGAGTTGGAATACTGTTTGCATTACATTACCGTGGCTATACCCTCATGCCTCCGAGGTACATAAGTAAAGCTGTCGTAAGTCTTGCGCCTGATCTGTCTTCGGTCATATCTTAACATAAAGGTCACTATGGAGGTCACATAGGGCTTGGGCACTGGGCAGAGTATGGGCGATGAGAATGTACTAAAATGCAAGCCATAGAACTATAAAGTATAACAATAAGCTTGTAAGGCAATTATACTTAAAAAGTATATATCGTAAGGAATTATAAGAAAAAAAAACAATGAAACTAAAAATATACTTAAAAATATAAAACAAATAATTACTGTACAGTTTATGAAAATAATTTAATTACACGCATTCATGTTATTGATATCGGAATGATGTTAATAATACCTATTATAAATTTTATTTATGAGTAAAGTATGAGAGAAAATAAAGAAGAACAGACAAGACAGTGGGAAAAAAGAGATATGCTATGTGTCTAGTATTTTGTTAGACTTGTGTAAGTTCTTAGATTTTCTATCTTCTACTTTCGACCGATTCCGGCCACGGCGGCCGATCTTATTGAGCCTAGCAATCTGTGCAAGAGATATTTCAGTGCACAAGTGTACGCGCAGACGTAAGTGTACTCCTTATTCCTGTAAGTAAACTAAGACAATAAACATAAATGTTGTAGTAACTTTCCCATAACACCCAGACTTTTTAACAGTAAGTTTCGATACGTAACGCCATGCATTAATATTTAATACATTTACTTGAGTAACGAGTATCGTATACTATTTTATAGCTCGTGTGACATAATCCCACCAACTTCGTAAGGTCTAACTTTAGAGACTGCCAAAATTTTCATATTCGAAGAATGTAATAATTATATTATAATAAAATTGTATCTAAGCCGAATCTGTACATTAAATACTTTTTGCAAAATCTTATTGAAATAGACATTATTATCGATACAGAATCTATAGTTTTTAGAATTTTTGTCTGTCTGTCTGTTACCGCATCTCAGAAAAATCACCGAAATAGGTTTTAATAAGACTCTGCTCTTTGACACTGTGTCTAGTCTTAAGTCGCGTATTTTATTTAAAGCTTGCTTCGGAATTTTGCCTTTATTCCAATCAATCATGAAAATTTGCCAAAAGCTATGCCGCTATGAACTATATTAATAACTATTCTCCAACACAAAATAAGTCAAAATTGTTCAGTTTTTCTCAATAAGAACGCCAAAGATGGGCATTTAATTGAAAAATCACGGTCGTAATGGCCTATTAGGCCTTAACACCAAATACTCCTGAATAAAACTAAAATCATAACGTTTTGCCTAATTCCTTCACATACTTAGAGATTTTCGAGTCTAGTTAAATTGGAAATTTACAAAAAATATTCAAATTTTACGTTATTTTATTGAAAGTTTTCAAAGAAACTTTTCGTTTCAGGAGCCCAGTGACAGGATGGGAGAGAAGTGAAGCTTCGAACTTTGCTTCCACCTCTGCTGTGACGTGTGTCCTTGCCGCAATAACTTTTATACTACAATAAAACTTGTGCAAAATGTGAATTTACTTAATTTATTTAATTTTATATGAAGAACTTAAATGTTGATTAATTCAGAACAATATGGAGTATGTTAGTTTTTTTTTAAGATGTTAAATATTATAACTGTACTGTTACAAATATTGTAATAGAAATCGAAATCATATTTAGTGATAATCTTTTTTTTTGAAAAAAATGAAACTTTTTGCTACATTTTGCTTTGTTAAAGCAATTACAATATACTTGGATACAATCGTCTCTATTCAATGCTTAATTTTTTTTAATATATTAAATATTACATTGTTTTATCTTTAATAAATAATTTCGACATATTTTGATATATTTTAATTTACAATTCCATCTATACATATACCTAATAAAATTCTAAGCCCAATATCTATATTAAATATTTTTTTGGAAAATCTTATAAGATTGTGACCGTATCCCGGAAAACTACTGGAGGGATATTGATGAAATTTGGTATGGCGATAGCTAGTTATCCGGGTCAACATATAGGATACTTTTACAGCGGGAAAATATCTCATCCCTGAGAACTGAGAAGTCTATTATAACCTGTAAAACATACCTAGGAACGAACCCAAGCAGAGCGAGGGTGAGTCGCTAGTATATATCTCTATAAATATATGCTATTTTCTTTTTACATAAAAATTATAACGTTTAGATTTATTCAAAAAAAGTACATAGTATTTTATTGATTATTAAAATTAGTAGTTATTAAAAATAACACATGTTAACTCTCAGATGTAGTAAGTCTATACAGAATAATTTATATTAAATAAAGCAGTATAATCTTTAATTAGAAAGTTTTAGAGTATATTATCGTATGAACTGATTTAAGTTATTGTTTGTATTGTATACTGTACATAGCGTTTTATACAATGGAGTCAAGCAGGCTTATTCAATGCCACTTAGTTGACCTGTCGTCTGTGTTCGAGGGGTTTGGTCAAAATGATCGTGAATATTGCGGCAATTAGCAAGAATTGTGCAAAAACATTGCTTTTAATCCTAAATGGATGTTGTATTGTAAGTTTGTTTTGTGTACCTACCGTATCTTAGTGTGGAGATAGTCTCACTTATATATACTTAAACACAGATATGCAGTTTTGGCATTACCTGTACTTAAATACCTACATACAATATAGAGGTGTTATATCTATCTACCATAACATATTTTGAATTTAGAGCTTCTTTCGCTTTCACTTAAATAGCCTAAATATCTATCTACCTAGATATCTATCTTCGAATCTAGATATTCATCAATTTGAAATCCACAATATATAGAAATTTAAGTATAAAGTATATTTCATTGTTAAAATACCAACATAATATTTTCACTTTGAATTTTCCTTATTAATATTAGGATTTAGTTGTTACTCTTACATTATTAAGGTATTGTGCCAAAAATTGTATGTACGTTTCTCACACAAGGTAAGTTACAATCATCTTATACAGGAAAGCTATCTATCGAGACGAATATATTTATGTTGTAATACATATGTTTGATTACACTCCATCATTACGTTATTTTTAAACACGCTGATCTCTATCTGGTAGCGTCTTCTAAAGATAGAAGACGGTCTTCTAGAGACATGATCAAATTCTTTACACAGGGAGACTTAAAGATATTTTTTCTAATGTTTCAGCTAATAGCACTATGTACGTTTATATTCGCGGTGGTGGACACGAGGATCGTTAAGACATATGGCGAAGACCGCGCTGGAGGCACTATAGTTGGCGACTTTATCATCATTGTCGCTTGTTTGTTCCTTGTGGCTGTCGCCGGATTTGGTTCTCTGGGTGTTGTTAGGGGAAATGTGAAGATACTTTATATTGTAAGTTATGTATTATAATTTAAATTCATTATAAATCTGGTGTTTAATAAGTTTTGATAGGAAATGGGCTTCACCATCGAGATACTATATTATTATGAATAACTAGTTTTTGCAATATAGAAATCCAAGAATAGCTAGAATTATTACGTATCTATATACGTATAAATAAATAAGAATATGATATAAATAGACTTCGTATCACAATAATATCAAAAAAACATAATTTTAGGTTTATTTCTTAGAAAAATAGGTATCAATTAAAAAATTAACAAAAAATAGTAATAGTAAATGTCAAAATTTTGTCATGTATGGTGTGAAATGTGAAGTTAAATATGTTTGATGTTTTACACTTAAATATTAAATTAGAATAATGCAAATCAGTTCACAATTGACCAGGAAATCGCTTAATATGGACACAAAAAACTATAACTGAGTTGATTAGATATTTCCTCCTTTTGAAGTCAGTCAAAAAGGACAGTCCTCTGATAAAATACAATACCAATAAGAATTACTAATTGAAATTATAATCCTCAGTAAAATTGCCCTATTTTTTACTTATGTTTGACCTATTATTTTATTATTGCTTTAAAAGTCCAAAACAAAAACTGATTAATGTAATACGTTAAATAAATATGTTGGGAAATTAACACACAGCACTATCTAGTTCCATGGTAAGCTACGAGGCTTGTGTTATGGATACCACATAGTTGATACAGTACACATATATAACTTTAAATACAAACATATTATAAACACCCATGACTGGAGTACAAATATAATATGATCATCACACAAATGAATGCCCTCAGCGGACTCGAACCCGCGACCGCTGGCGCAGCAAGTAGGGTAACTACAAACTGAACCAAACGTGTCGTCAAGTTCTGCGTCTTTTTTCCAGTACATCGCATTCCTCATGATGATGGTCGTACTAGAGCTGCTCATAGCGGTGTATGTGGCTTTACAACGATATGGACTTCAGTTTAAAATAACTGAATGGCTGCGAGACGACTTCTTCAAGAACACAACAGATGATAGTCTTCATAATAAATTTTGGGATGATCTACAAGTCACTGTACGTATAGTATTACCAGTACAAAAATCCCTACAGTTTTAGTCAGTCAGTTGTTCAGGCGCCTTTGTTAGACGGGTGTTTGGATTAGTAGATTGTGGCATTTATTTCAAAAGCACTTGTATTATTAATAAGTCTAATTGATTAAATTTTATTTCATTTCATTACTTAAGCTATTATTAGTATTATTACTCAAGCTATAATTGTGCTGCACTTTAATAGCATAATTATAGCTTAAGTAAAGAGAAAATGGAATAATTTATTTAATAATTTTTAAAACTTTTTTTTATTACTATGACAGAGAATACATAATATGTATTTAATTTATCAAATATTGCAAGATATTCCTTCTTGGTGGCCAGCACATTTTACTTGCCTTCTAGAAGAATCCCCTGGTTGATTAAACTACCTATTGCTACCAAACTTGGTATGCAAATATGCACAGGATCACCCGCTGGGCTAATTTGAAGATTGCCTAAAAATTTATTCAACTTCGCTCCAGCCGTTTTGGAATCACATCACACATCGATTTTTATATACATAATATATAAATACATCTATATCTATATCCATATATATAATAAAATTGTAACTAAGTCGAATCTGTACATTAAATTTTTTTTGGAAAATCTAATTGAAATAGACATTATTATCGATACAGAGTCCGAATCTATAGTTTTTAGAATTTTTGTCTGTCTGTGTCTGTCTGTCTGTCTGTCTGTTACCGCATCAGGAGAAAACCACGGGACAGATTTTGATGAAATTTGGTATTATGATAACTGGTTTTCCGGGTCAACATATAATAGACTTTTTACCGCGGGAAAATGTCTCATTTTTGAGAAAAAAATACAAAAACTGCAATGTAAGAGTATACTAAAATGTAAAACCTAAGAATTTGGTTTTTGGTCTAATATAAATTAATAAGTGTACTTTTAGTAATATCTTTATCTAGTAAGGCCTCCAAGAAAAATACTTAATAATTACAAAAAATAGGATAATACACCATATGATAATACACATAACTTAAAATATGATTACAGTATGAATGTTGCGGTTTGAACGGACCTGAAGATTATATCGCCGTGCAGAAGCAGATTAGCTTGTCTTGCTGCCCACGAGCTTATCGCGCCAGGACTGCCTTCGCGAGGCAACAGATGTACCGTACTTGTATCGAGTTAGTATTTATTTAGTACTAACTTTTGCTATATAACCGAGAGGTTATCAGTTTTTGTGTATCATTACTACTTTTCTAAGAATATTAGAAAGTGTAAATGTTTGCAATAAATTTATTTTATTAATAATATGAGGATAGGATAAAAATAAACAGATAAAATGGGATTTCGAAAGATATCGTCTCTTGAAAGCAACCAGACTTCAACAGAGCCAACTAAACTGAAAAGACTTAGGCTACTACATACATAATATATGTATACCTCTTCCGCTAATTACAATGTAATAACCGTCAGTAACTGTGTTTCTAACTGTTTCATTGAAATGTTTTCTATATAACCTCGAATAATCACTTGAATTAAAGTTAACTGTATTTAGTGCTTTTTCCCATTTCCGTTTTAAAATAATAATTATATATTAAAACGGAAATGGGAAAATAAATTAAAATATAAATTAGTTTTAATAATTGAATGTTACTTGTAAACTTATAAACACCAGTTTCTTTACAACCCAACTCCCATCTACACAACGACCCATTTTTTTGTTTTTTTTATAAATAAAACTGTAAGATATAAGCAGTTTCCTATAGAGATTGAGAGTACTTTTGTAACAAAAATTTGGCGCCCTCACAGTTAATTCACAGTTTTCTTCCCCATTTAAATAGTTTATGTTTTCAGATCTATTAATTACTACCCAAACGGTTGTGAGGATGAGATTCTTTACGCACTGAGGTCCGACGCTGACTGGCTCATCGGTGTAGCAGTTACGTGCTTTTGGTTCGAGGTAGGGTATTACTAATGTAATTTTTTTTACACAATACCTTTTTTTTTAAATATTTAATGGTCCTACTGATTGTCATAAATATTAAAATATAATATGTCATGTATCTGCACTTATGGATTATGGCCTGATCCCCCTCGCATTGAAAGGAGGGAGGTGCCCAGCGGTGGGACGTTAAAAAAGGCTGAATATATGTACTTTAATAACAAGGTTGCGTATCACAATAATCACTGGATTAAATTTAAGTTAAAAAAAAAACCCTGACATGTAATTCGCCATTTTTCGGTGGCGGCCATCTTAGATTTGAAAATCATAGTGTATAGTATTCTACTAGTCAAGCCCTTTCATTTCATACCTATATTGAGGGAGTTGTGGAAAAATATGTAATCTGCCATTTTGTGGCGGCGACCATCTTGGACCGATTTTCACCAAACATAGCTAGCTAAGAACACTCCCTACTAATTCATCATTCAAACAAAAAAAAAACAAAATCAAAATCGTCTCATCCGTTCGGGAGCTACGAAGCAGCACACAGACACACACGTACAGTTACGTCAAGCTTATAACAGTTGGGGGTTAAAAATATAAATGCAACAATTTTTGAGTGCTTATTATTTCTTCATGCTATAACTGTGCAAATATGGGTGTATTTCAATTGGATGATAGTTGATATTCTGGAGAAATTAATAAACAACTGGCGACTCATCCTCGTTTTGATCAAGTTCGTTCCTAGGCGGTTCTTTAAATAGACATATCTTTTTAATTTATTAACACATTGAAATAAAACAAATAGTAAATGTTAAGTGAAACTTACAACAATACATAACTGAAAATAAAAATAACAAAAAAGAATCATTGTTTTGGTTTCTACTGCGTTAATATAGAACCCCAATAACAGTTTTTTCTCAAATATCTTCTATATACAGACATCAATCAGTTACATGTTTATTATATGTATACATAGATGTATCTACCATACGTCCACTAATGCTGGCGATATATAGTTTACTAGCATTGCCCGCGGCTCCGAGCGCGTTCAGATGACAAAAAAACCAAATTCTTAGGTTTTACTAATATATAATATTAGTATACTCGTACATTGCAGTTTTTGCATTTTTTCTCAGAAATGAGATATTTTCCCGCGGTAAAAGTATCCTATATGTTGACCCGGATAACCAGCTATCACCATACCAAATTTCATCAAAATCCTTCCAGTGGTTTTTCTGTGATGCGGTAACAGACAGACAGACAGACGGACGGACGGACGGACGGACGGACGAACGGACAGACAGACAGACAAAAATTCTAAAAACTATAGATTCGGCCTCTGTATCTATATATGTAATATGTGTTTATTTCAATAACATTTTCCAAAAAATATTTAATGTACAGATTCGGCTTAGTTACAATTTTATTATATATATTATATTTAATATTGATACTGTGTTTAATTATGATTAATTTGAATATTATTATTTTCTAGGCGGCGGGAATGTTGCTTGCGATGTGGGTAGCCAACAATACGAGAGATGAAGTACAAGTTTACAAACAAGCTATTAGATATTGATTATTATTTTCAATAACTTTATATAATATTTTATCTTTGTCTATTCCTAAATATTATAATTAGTAATATAGACTTTTATGTTACAAAATCTAATTTATAAACTCTATAATAATTGTTCGTTAAAATGTTGCTTTAAACGTTTGCTAACTAATAGCTATAATATTACTTAAATGTTAAGAATATAATATGTACTTATTTTTAACCGATTTCCAAAAAGGAGGAGGTTCTCAATTCGGCGGAATCTTTTTTTTTATGTATGTTCATCGATTACTCGAAGACGCCTGAACCGATTTGGATTTTTTTTTGTTTCAAAGGGCATACTTCCCAGGTGGTCCCATAAATTTTTTTATCGAAATCGGTCGAGCTTTTTTAAAAAAATCAACAACAAATATTTTTCTTAAATAAATTGTTTATTCGAATATGTTATTAAAAAACTTTCTTCTAACAAATTACCTGCTTATTTTTAAATATTAATTTGTAAAATAACTAAACGGCGGTTTTCATTTAGAAGTAATAGTTAATCAGATATTTTCGGAGTCAAGCCAGCCTACAACAATATTTTAAGATATAGTAGTATCCTATATGTTGACCCGGATAACCAGCTATCACCATACCAAATTTCATCAAAATCCTTCCAGTGGTTTTTCTGTGATGCGGTAACAGACAGAAAAACAAATATAATATAACGTATCTAATAGGTATAACTGTTAATGTAAATTTCTGTAAATGTCTTTATGTATTTTACGTATCGAAATATATTAGATTTGATTTGCATCGGCTGGCACCGACTTAGAAAATATCTGATTAGGTATCTCTTCTAAATGAAAACCGCTGTTTAGTTATTTTTTACATTTTAGTGCCTGGAAGTCGGTTTTTATTTTTTTTATAAAGTTTTTATTTTATATGATTAATTATAATGTATACTTATAATAAAAATTATAAAAGTTTTTAATTTTTTTTAGTAAACAAATATTTATAAAATCGGTTTATTATTGGTAGATACGTAGGACTTAGGCACTAACTTTGAATTAACTTAAATCTTTATTTCATCTATACAGTGCCGGATTTAATCTTAGCGCCGCCCCTGGGCATATTAAAAAATGTCGACCTATTCTCGAAATTTTGAATAAAATGTTGAAAGTTTAATTTTTTTAATTCTTAATTTTTTGAAAATCTTACAAATAATTTATAAATGATATCAAGTTTTCGAATAATGTACCTATTAGTGAATCCTTTTTTAGTTTTATTATTTTGTGAAATAAAAAACCATTTTCGATAACGTGAAAATAAAAATCCACCCCCTGAATTTTGCCGCCCCTAAAAATTTGCCCGAGTGCCCCTAGTGTAAATCCAGCGCTGTATCTATAGGTATGAGAAATGTCTCATATCTATAGATGAATAATAAAAACGGCAGGGAACATCTCTATAGGTATAAAAAAAGTAACTACACCGAAATCAAGAAACTCCATTTTTTTAAATCAGTAAAGTCGACAAGTTCGACTACGAGTCGTAAAAAGGCAGCATAAATGTTAGAAGCCGTTGATAAAATACACTACGTAAAATTTACCTTTTTGTTCATCCTCCCCTTCCACGATACTCGACAAATATAACAACATGACAAATGGTCAAATTCAAGTAATTTTCAAAGGATTTCAAGTAATCGATAGTATTCTAGTACCTAAATATAGAAAACATTTGGTAAACTCAATTTCATAAGTGAATGAGTACTTTTGATATTATGAATCAAAACTTCACTTTTAATGTATGTATATATATTTATGGCAGCAGGCAGTGGCAGCCCAGTGATAAGCGCTTACTTGGGTAACCCAGTGAAGCGGGTTCGAATCCCGGATCTCGCACATCTCATACTTTCATGTGCGAATCATTTCCAACATCATTACCACTTGTCTTACGGTGAAAGAAATTGTGAGAACCTAACAAGTTTTCAAAAGACGTGTGAAGTCCGCCAATATGCACTAGGCCCAGCGTGGTGGACTATGGCCCAACCCCTTCGAATTGATGGGAGGCCCGTGCTCGGCAGTGGGACGTTAAAGAAAGGGGTTGAATTCAAGTACATATTTATACTGTAGCTTTTCTTATAATGTTAATTCCTTTTATATTTTTTTCGCGAAACAATCGAGAAATCGATACATGTCATTTTTGACATAGAGATATTTTATGGGCAGGAAAACACAATATCCAAACACACTTCTTATCCAACTATATGTTGTAGATCTTTTACATAAAGTCAGTCTGTTAAAAATGGACTTTTAGTAAAAGTAAAAGTTGAAAAATATTAGTTTCTAGGATCCCTTAGCTATTTAAAAAAATCAAGCTGGATTTTCGTTAGTTTCGTTTTGACGCTCATCTTTTTTTTTCTCTATGAAATTTGTCGATAGTGGTAGTCAATAGAGTTTACAGATGTCAAACATGTCGAATTGAATCGAAATCGAATTATCGGCGATTGTCTAAACTTAGTTTAGTGTTAATACTAACATGTAGAATTACCACTTACGTTTGTTAGAACTAAAGTTTGGGCAATCTTCAAATTCATTCTTAACGTAATTTAATAAAGTAAAAAGTAATTTTATAACAATTTTTTCTAGATAGTAAATGATCGGTAAACAGGGCCGAATTAACCACGCAGGGGGCCCTAGGCAATACAATTCTCGGGGCCCTTTTACTCTTTTCTAACTTATTAAAATACATTTTTCGTAATTACGCTATTAGGTAGATTTATGTATGGCGGAATGTTCACCTATAGTTTAGTTTTTTTTAATTAAATTTTCACTCGATGATACATTATCAATTTTTTTCCGTGGGGCCCCTGCTCCTAGCCGATACAGGGCGCATAATCAGTTTCCTAAACTGCCTTGTCGATAATCCGGCCCTGTCAGTAAAAACATCCTCAAAATCAATATATACTTACTGACGAGAACGTAAACATCATAAAATCATCAATCAATACCTTTGACTAAAAGCTTTTATAGAAAAATTGGGCTAAAAATACTTCTAAGTACATTTAAAATGAAAATGGGTAAGAATTAAAAATTTTCTTGTTGTGTACTCAATAATGTGTTCTGAATAGACGATAGAAGCGCTCTTTCTGTTTCATAGGAAACTGAAACAAAGACTTCCATCATTTATGGGGAAATGTCCATCTGTTTTCCCACGCCCTACATTTTCTTTGATAAAAAATTGAAGAAATAAACGTCAATACTGACGTTAGTGCAATAGGTTTAGAACTAGTCCAAGAAAACGTTCTGAAGAGAGAGAAATTAATAATAATTTTTAATTTATTTTATTGCATAATATTATGGCTTGGTAGATTACGTTTTTGTATGATTTTATATGTTACGTTTTAATGTTAAACATATAGATTTCTCAGAGATGAGATATTTTACTGCAGAAATAAGTATCCTCCTATATGTTGATACGGATCACCAGCTATAATCAGCATATCATCAAAATCCCTCCAGTGGTTTTCTCGTGATGCGTTCCCAGACAGTCAGACATATATATTATGTACATATTTGACTCAGTTAGAATCCATACTAATATTATTAATGTAAAAGTGTGTTTGTTTGTTTGTTTGTTTGTCTGTCTGTCCTTCTTTTACGTCGACACGGAGTGACAGATTGACATGATTTTTTGTGTGGAGATAATTAGTGCTGGAGAGTGACATAGGTTACTTTTTACCGCGGGAGATTATCTCACTCCCACGGGAAAACACGTTATAATACAACTCAAAAAATATTTATGTTCAGAATTACTTGAAACTTGGATTACTTGAATTACTTAAATGCTCTTCAATACAATTAAATAAATACGTGTTTTAGCATTTTTCGAAATTCATCCCATAAGGGGGGAAAATAAGGAATAAAAGTTTTTATGGACCCTACTTTTTTAGTTTTTTTTTTATAGTTTTAGCTAGAGCGAAGTGCGCGCGAGTTTTATTAGAAACATTTAGAATTAAACATAATAATGTGCTTTAGGCAAAAAAATATTAATATAAGATTCCTGTTAAATTACTTACTATACACAGACAGCGATACTGACAAAGCGATCGACTTGATTTTTTTCATAGAAAAGATTATAACCCGAAAAATGACAGGCACTTTTATTGACCGACTTAAAAAAATAGGTACTTTACTAGGACTTAGTTTATGGGACATCTCATATTAATCTGTTGAATAACGCTATTTTACGACCTTTATCACTTACTTATAGTAATAAAATAGAACCACACAACCACGAACTAGACTTTTTCCACACTTTAAATCTAACTAAACTTTCATACAAAAACTAAATATTTTCAAACACGATCTCAACACAACAAAGTCTCAACTCGAATTGTTTTTAAATTGAATTAAACAAGCCAAAAGCGTCACAAAAGCTCAGACATTTCAAAAGTAAATAATAAATGAAAAGTGTGAAAGCTATGTAATTTGTCATTTAAAACCATGCTTCAAACAAAGGCAAAATAAAAAATGAATTTTAAAACGAGTTAAAAAATATAACGAAGCACGCTTCGCTTATCACTCGATCGTAGCACTATAGGGCCGAGCCAGTCGTCAAATGCAATGATCGATATACCTCATTTACCCTCCTAACACCATCGTAACCGGACATTTTGCATACAATATTTGATTTTAAATTGCAAAATTCAATATGAAACCTCGAAATATACGCTGTCTGAAATTCTTTATCGCCCTCTTCAATATAATTTTTATTGTAAGTTCATTGGCTATAGTTTAGTATAGATCGCACAGTTTTGTACATTTTTACTTTAATTTTTCTTTAAAAAGTTTTAGTTTATATATATGCTTATTGTTGCACTGTTTTTATAAGTAGCTGAAATTTAGAGATCATAAAATTACTATTTGCTATTGCTTGAAAATTTTGTTTTTTTTTTTGAAAATAAATAATAATTGTGGGACGAATGATTTAATTTGTGTGGAGAGAAAAAGGGTTACTTTATACAAATTTTTTTAACTCTATTTAATATTGGTGGAGAACAAAGGAGATGATGTACTTGTGATAAAACTTTAACTGTTTTCCGTTGTGAGCTTTTGAAATTATCGTACAGATACGGACTTACAAAATGGCGCCTAATACTTTGTAAGTACTTAGTTGTGACATAATAATAATATTGGCGGTAATCAGATTCTCTATGGACAGAACTAGCTTTGGCCGATATTGTCTAGATTTTAAACAATAGATCAAATTATACAGATAATAAAGTATCTAAATAAAACTTTTAACGTTATAAGTAAAACATAGTTGTTAATTCCGAAGAAAAACAAAAGAAAAAACTAAATCCAATAGAAAAATAATATTATTCACTTACTATTTAAGTGTCTAATGCCCGATTTCACCAACGTCACCTAAGTTTAAGGGATCCCCTAAGCATAGTTAGGGGGCTGTTAGGGGACAGTATCTGTTTCACCGACAGTAAGGGGTCACTTAAATATTAAAAGGCCCCCTAAATTTAGGTGCTCGAAATATGGGCTTAAAGACGATCGTAAAACGAAATCTAATTTAGGGCTAGTTTAGGGGACTTTTAAGCTAGGAATCCCATACGTAGGTGGTAGCTTATGGGTTGTTGGTGAAATCGGGTATAAGAGTCGCTTATATGTTACGCAAGTTCACATAGTATATCTTCTCCCTGATGTGTCCCACCTTTTCGTGGTGGTGCGGGTTCTTATTAGCGTCCGGCAATCCAGCCAGGTGAGAAACTAAGAGAACCCTGGGAGATGGCTCAGTTTGGTGGGTGGTGTGCCATGCTTGCTCCTGGTACTTCTCTGATAGCTAGCAACACTCCTTTAAGACGAAGAGGATCTGTCTGGTTTTAGTGGGTGGTACTGGCTTTTCTAGCCGGTGAGTCCCACATAACCACCTGTATATATGCAGATGGTATGCGTAAATGAATTTCTCCGTAGAAAACGGTCCATAGTCTATCTGTATACTAAATATGATCCAAATCAGTTCAGCTGTTTAAGTGTAAAGGAGAAACAAACATGCACAATGCACATACACATATACAAATTTGTATTTACAATAGTAGTTCGATTATCACATTCACAGGCTATATCGTGAGTACAATAAAACGCTAGTTAGGACAAAGTACTTATGCACGCGAGCAATAAGGCTTTTTTTAGTCACTGAGCTTAGTTACGAAAAAGCACTTAAACTAAAATTATTATACTAAGTTATTATAAATAAGCCAATTATGCATTCAATTGTTTTCAAGCGCTTTTGTCTTCTTATTAACATACTTTTGCTCTCTATATTTATTTTTTACTATGAAATACAAGTAATTTATATCAGACAAATTTTGATCAAGATTTTAGATTACTACGTGTATATATAATTCAGGGTCGGGTTAAGATGAATGGGGTTTAGGCAATTTAAAAAATGCCTTTAAAGAATATTTAGAAAACAAAATTGAAATTTTTATTCTGTTTCTAAGTTTTATTTATTTTTTTAATTATTTAGTAAATAATTCTGATATTGATACATTTGTGTACATGTAATATAAAAAATATTTTTCTTCCGGTAAACAGATGGGTGAAATATGACCATACTCAGGATCTTAGACTATACAATAATATAATAATACTTATACTACTTTTTATCCCGGAAATATGTATGGTTTCCGTGGGATAGATTTATTTTTGTCTTAATAAATATATTTACCTCTATAATCAAACAGTAAATCTCTATTTTTCTGTTTTTTTACATAGCTTTTCGGACTAGTTCTTATGGCGATCTGTGTGATTAATATGCGCGAGCGCAAGAACGAAGCTGAACAATCCGCCCTATCCCGAGGAGTGTTGTCATTTCTTCTCACCCTTGGTCTTGGGTTGGTGGTAACTGCTATACTGGGCTGTGTCGGTGCTTTGAGAGAAAATATTAAGATACTATACGTGGTAAGTTTAACATTTTTATTTTATATTATATTCTTTATTGCACTTAAAATATGATACAGAAAAAAAAACAAAGTAAACATAGTTCACAAAGGTGGACTTATCTCTAAAAGAGATCTCTTCCAGTCAACCCTGGTTGTGGAAGAAGATGTCAGCGGGCAATATAGTGCAAAAAAAAAAAACTAAATATGTACTAAAAATAAAGGTAATAATAACCACTTATACATACATACATACATACATACATACATACATACATACATACATACATACATACATACATACATACATACATACATATAAACATACATATATACAAAAATATATAATACTATAAATATATAATACCTGATGTAAAGACTACTTATACATACAAACATATATACATATACATAGTTAATATATAAAATATGAAAATGGAGAAAGGTACTGATTGATATTGTCTACATTTGTGAGAATAAATAATTTTTTAATTTACATTTAAAAACATGAATAGATGGGCTCTCATGGATGGATTTGGGCAGTTGGTTCCATAGTACTGCGGCATGGACAGAAAAAGAGTTTTGTTGGAATTTAGTATTGCTCCTAGGAATGTCGAGCATAGAAGTACTGCAAGATCTTCTGGAACGTGTAGGGATTGGTAGAAAGTTAAAACGGGAACGAAGGTAAGGAGGGAAATTTTGATTTTTAAGGATATTATAAAGGAATGATAGGATGTGCATATTACGGCGAAGACGGATGGGGAGCCACTTAAGTTGAGCACGGAAGTCAGAGATGTGGTCATATTTCCGCAAGCCAAAGATAAAACGTATGGCGAGATTTTGAAGACGCTCCAGTTTATTAAGTAGCTCCTCTGTCACATCCAGGAAGCAGACGTCGGCGTAGTCGAGAATGGGTAATAGGATGGATTGCGCTAGCATTATTTTGGTTTTGAATGGGAGAAAGTATTGGAGACGCTTGAGAGAATGAAAGGAAAAATGCATACGTTTACTTAGTTCGTTAATATGAGGTGCCCAAGACATGTTACAATCAAAGATGAGACCTAAATTTCTCACCTTATCCGAGTAATGTATAGGGATTCCAGAGTACAGGATATCAGGTACTAAGGTCCAGTCAATCCTACTTCGTAGTCTGCTGCTACCAATAATTATAGATTGCGATTTTTTGGGGTTTACTAATAGACCGAAAGATTCAGCCCAGCTTTGGATCGCAGCTAAATCATTGTTCAAAGCCGTAACAGCCTCAGGCAACTCAATTAAATTACAATGTCGGTATATCTGCAAGTCATCTGCATACAAATGGTAGGGAGAAGAAATGACATGTGAGATATTATTAATGAAAATAGAAAAAAGTAGTGGGGAAAGTACGCCGCCTTGGGGAACACCAGCTGTAAGATCCAACCATGACGATAAGTTATCATTGGCTGTCACGCGCTGCCGGCGCCCGAAAAGATATGATTGGAACCAATTTATAACTGCGGGAGACATATTAACAGTTCGTAGAGTGCCAAGAAGTATATCGAAATCAACCGAGCTGAACGCGTTACTGAAATCAAGCAAAACCATTACAGTGAGCTTAGTGTTGTCCATGGCGGACCGAATGTCCTCCGTGATGTTCAGCAACGCGCCAACAGTACTGTGAAAAGGACGAAAGCCTGATTGGAAGGGACATAACAAATTATTCGAGGTGAGGTAAGTGTAAAGTTGGCTGTTAACGATAGATTCTAGGACTTTGAAGAGGATAGGGAGAATAGATATAGGGCGAAATTGGGTGGGGCAGGTAGGATTAGAGGTTTTAGGTAATGGGATGATAAAAGCATTCTTCCACAGTGAAGGAAAAAACATTGGAAGATAGTGAAAAATTTAAAATGTGGGTGATCACTGGTGCAATGTCCTCTAACACAGGTAAAATCATATGTAGACTGAGATTGTCACTTCCAATGGCTTTAGTCGAGATAGATCGGACACACTTCTTAACAATGTCTTCAGAGACAGATTTAAATGAGAAAGGGAGAGAGTCAGGTGGGACAACGTGAGATAAAAATTTAAGGGTATCGGATTTCACTTGAGGGTTTAAAGTTATGGGTGGAGTTGCAAAATGAGAATTTAATGTATTAAGATCTTCGGAGACCACATGGGTATCCGAAGTTTTGCCCACGCCTAGCGACTCTAAGAACCTCCAAACTTGTGCTTGGCAAAGATCCTGAATGGTGGAGTGAATATAACGACGCTTAGCATCCCTACACATTCTATTGCAGATGTTGCGCAGTTTCTTGTATGCATTAAGATTTTCCTGAGATGGATATTTTTTGTTTATCTATACATGTAAATAAAATTGAAGTATCTGTTTATAATATCAAAATAAAAACTTTTTACTAAATGCATATGAAATTATATACGGTACTTAAAAGAAAAAACACTTTTATTTTTTATTTTTGTCTGTCTGTCTGTCTATTTGTTCCGGCTAATCTACGAAATGGCTGCACTGATTTTGACGGGACTTTCACTGGCAGATAGCTGATATTATTAAAAGTAACTTAGGCTACTTTAAGTTTAGAAAAAGAATTAGAGTTCCGTTCAAAAAAGTTAGAATGTACCTAGGGCGAACCCGAGCGAAGCGAGGGTGAGTTTGTCCATAAAAAAGGCTTATTAATTAAGCAACAAATTACTAGATATTATTAGTACAATATTATAAATCCAATAATTTTGTTGTTTCTTTGTTAGTTTAGCCCTATTTTTTACAAAGAGAAAGACATACATATATGTATAGGCCAGAGTGTGGTTTAAAGTACTTTTTTATCCCGTAATGTAAATTATTCTTTAATTTCAGAATTCGCTGTTTATTTATTCATAATGTTTATTCCATGAGAGCAAACAAGAAACGTTACCAAAAGCTCTAACAAAATATTATTCTCACATAGAGTTAGTTAAATATGATCATTTAATAAAATAAATAGAAAAACTATCAGCAATATTTTGACCTACTTTATAAATCAATAAAATAATTGAATGCGTTACAAATGCCTCATAAAATATTTATACGTCCTTGTCGCTTCATTTACGTGTCCGTCGATACGATCGATATTGAGGCAATAATTGGTATCATTATTTATTTATAATTATACTTCCCATGGACATGTTACAATTTATGTATAAGTGTATACAATGTATGGTAGAGGTGTATAAAATATTTTCAATTTTATGAATTTTTGGTATTTAATATTGAAGCCATAAGGCAAGATACACTGGAAGACGGCCCACCTCAGTGGACAGTGTACCCATGTGAATTGCTTCTGGCCTTCTTTGATAACAGAGTGGATCGTGGAAGCAAGCTCTTGGCTGTTGTGGTCTGGGTAACTGCGTAATCGATCCTGCAACATCCCATTAAGACGGAGAAAGTTCGTTGAGTTTTAGTGGGTAGTACCGACTTTTCTATACTTTTTTTTAATATTGGCAAATGCATTGACACATACTAATTGTATATATACAGGTGATTATGTGAGACGCACTGGCTAGAAAAGCCAGTACTACCCACTAAAAGCTAATGGAACCTTTCCCGGCTTAATGGGGCGTCGTAGGATCGCTTACGCACTCAACTACGACTTTTCTGTATTATCTCTACGTTAAAAAAACCCGGATAATATACGGAATTGTAGTATCGATTTGTCTAAAATACCTATACATATATTAATAAACTCTCATTTTACCCAAAGAATGTGATTTCAGCATGCTTGCTTCCTGATATTCCTGGTGTCGATAGAAGTAATGGTGGGTGTGGGAGGGGCTGTACTCAGTGCGTGGGTGGGTGGAGGAAGCGAGCTTAGGATGCAATTTAATAAAAACGCCACTGTTGATGAAGAAGGTCCAAACCAAAAGACATTTTGGGATAACTTGCAATCTGAGGTATTAAATACTACCTTATAAAATATATTATTAAAGTTAAATATCAGGTGAACAAGTAAGTATAACATAATAAATAATAATAATAGTGTTTTAAAAGTGACTAGCAGTACCCGCGGCTTTGCGCGCGTTCAAACTTCCGATCGCTACCAAACTTCACAGGATAACCCGCTGCTTTGAAGATTGTGTGAAAATTTAATGAAAATCACTCCAGTCGTTTTGCAGTCCATAGGGAAGATAATTACCTAGCTTTTAAACACAATATAACCTATCAGATATATTAGTGATTTTCGTATGAGTCTCGTGTCACTTATAATCATGTCATAGAATCATTATATGTATATATCCTATATAAACAAAAAATCCTACTAAACTTAATGAATGATCTGAAAACCATGCGTTTAACATGTATATCTATACTTAAAAATGTAAATAAATAAAATATGTTGGGACATTAACACACAGCGCCATCTAGTACCATGGTAAGCTACGAGGCTTGTGTTATGGATACCAGATAGTTCATACACTACATACATATAACTTTAAATACATACATATTATTAATATTATAGTAAAGCAATCTTAACATTTGCAGAATCAATGTTGTGGAGTAGATGGTCCACAGGACTATGCGATTCTACAGATGGATGTGCCCACATCTTGCTGCGCGAGCGCACATCCTCTACGCGAAGGTGGTGCACGACGTCACTTGCATTCGACTTGTCTTAATGATAAATCCTATTATATGAGAGGATGCGAGCAAGTTCTGCGACAGAAGAAAAGCTTGAAAGGGAAAATTTTTATATCTACTGGAGTTCTGTTTACGTTATTGGAGGTAACTCATTGTGAAATAACGAGCTTTTATGTTTGTTATATTTTTACGCAGTTTCTACAGAATTCACTATTTTTATAAAAGAATTAAAATATTAGTCTATCTAAGACTTAGGAAGGTTAGGTTATAAATTACCTACTAGCGGCTCATCACCCACGCTTCGCTTCGGGTTCGTCCCAAGTGAATAACAAAACTAAAACAAATCTATCCCACAGGAACCGTACATCTTTCCGGGATAAAAAGTAACTTATCTATTATTCCAGACTATAATCTATTTCTGTGCCAAATTTCATCTAGAACCGTTCAGCCATTCTGACGTGAAAGAGTAACAAACATCCATCCATCCTCACAAACTTTCACATTTATAATATTGGTATGAATTCTGCTATAATAGTTATTTCTAAGAAATACTTAAATATATTTTTCAGATCGTCTGCATTATCTTAGCTATATGGATGGGAAGATCGATCAGAAATGAACGTCGAAAGCTTCAACAAAATCTACAAGCACATTTCGAGTCATAAAATATTTATTCCTACTTTAAGACATTTTCACCTACTGTGTTCAAAAATCACAACACATACTCGTAGTAATAATTCAGCTAAAACACCATTTGCTTATTTTTATACTAACATCATTGATATACAAAAACTCAAGACACAATTTCTCAAAAGTTCCTCATAAAGAAGTGCACAATTTCCATTTTTCAAACCTCTTTTGTTCATTGCTTTTCAGAAAAAAAAATTAAAACGCATGTTTGAAAAAGGACTTTATTTCGTGTGCGTAAGTTTTAATTTGTTTTTAGACAATTAAAACTTTTGACTTTTTAATTATTATTCTCGTTTTTCTCGTCACATGTCGTTGCCACTTTTTGAAGAGATATTGGCTGGGATATTTGTATCTATGGTTTTATATATCAATGACTAATATCAATATTATAAAGTGGAGTTAAATAATTAAGGTTTTATCTGTAATATTCATTCTTAATGCCTTTTCTGCTATGCTTTATAAGATCTAAATATGTTATAAGTACAAATTACAAAAATAAGTAATAGCGGCCGACTGTGATACAAAGTAGTATAATTATTTACCTGTGGACATTTTGCACTTTGATATTGCTTATATTGGGAAGAATCAATTTTTTTGTAAGAAAAAAGTTGAAAAACTTGAATAGTTTCAGGCACTAAATTAACTATAATCGTTTGATTTGACTTATTACTCGTATAATGCAAGAGTTGCGAATTTTATTTTTTTCAAGAAATAATAGTTTAAAAATATAATATTAGATTAAATAGAATATTTTATAAGGATTGTGCGATTTTAAACTTTACATTCAATGTTTGTTTTATCGGAGCTCTTTTTATGATATGAAGATGTTTGGTATTTGTATATTAAATAATGCTATTAAAGTATTAAACTCTAAATAAGGAGAACATTTTTAGGGTTCCGTATCCAAAGGGTAAATCAAGACCCTATTACTAAGACTCCATTGTCCGTCCGTCTGTCTGTCTGTCTGTGGCCAGGCTGTATCTCATGAACCGTGATAGTTAGACAGTTGAAATTTTCACAGATGATGTACTTCTGATGCCGCTATAATAATAAGTACTAAAAACAGAATAAAATAAATATTTAAGTGGGGGCTCCCATACAACAGACATGATTTTTTTGCCGTTTTTATATTTAATGGTACGGAACCCTTCGAGTGCGAGTCCGACTCGCACTTGGCCGGTTTTTTTATTTAATGCATCGTTATGTGTTGTTACGAGTATAAAATTTTTTTAATGTGCCTGTAGATTTGACTCAGTTAAATTTTTACTATATATACTCATATATTAATTGACTAGATACTTTAATCTGCTTAGTAGTGTTTATTGTTAGTGCCATTTATAATAATTATTAAAGAATCGTGAAGTAACAGCTGTAATTAAAAAACTTTAAAAGAATATTTTCATAAGAGGAAATGAAGTTCTCTCCACTTGCTCAGCGAACTTCTTATTGACGATTTTTTATTTGATTTTTTTATTAATGACGTCTTATTAGACTTTTGCATGCTTTATTTACTATTACTTTTTTATATTATTATTGCATAGTTATTGATAGTTTCCTAGTTTATTTACAATTATTAGCTATTCACGTAGCGCAGGCGCATCCAAGATGGGGTAAAATTTTAAAAAATATGTTAGAAGTAAGCTTAAAGTTATACAAAACAGTAAATTTTAGGATTTTGTTATCGCGCGAAGTAATTTAAAACGTATTTTAGCTATATACTTTTAGCTAGGAAACTCTTAGAATTCTTTCAAAATTTAGAGTTGGAAAAGTCATTTTGACAGCCATGGCGCCTAAAAGAAGTTTTTAAATCAAATTTTGTTATTTGTAATAAATTTTATCATAGCTGTGGCTTTAAGCCGGTAGGGACCAATATATTTATTTTATAAAGTCATTAAAAGTTGGTCAAAAGGGTTTCTCTTAGTTGTAATATTGTTTTAGGACGAGTTTCATTAATTATAATTAGACATAAGTGATTGCTTGTGTTTGTGCAATTAAATTTTGTATATTTGCACTATAGGTTTTGTGAGTAATATAATATTATATGAAATATTTGAATTTTATGACATGTTTTATCGAATCTTTACCAATATTTTATAAATCATCTCGATTTTGTTTAATTTTTAAGGTCAGACAATTTATTCCTGTGTGGATTTAATTTGTATAAAAACTAAAATTTAACTTCGTAGTGTGATTGTTTAACCTAATCTAAGATTATATTGTAAGATATTGAGTATTTGTCAATATCATAATGAAAATTGATTAACTAAAGAACTAACCCCCTTAGATAAGCTACTTTCTATTACGAGTATCGTTAATAGAAAACTAAAACAAATATGGAAACCACATATAACGACACATCTGACAACGTGACAAAGTTTAGAAGTAATATTTCCATAATTATTTACTTTTCTATAAGTGATAGCGATAATTTTGCCTAGTTTTCTATTTTTACGTTTATACCACTAGTTATATTTCATAATTGCCTCGGTGTGTGACTGCACATCCGGAGGTCTTGGTTCGAGCCCCGGGTCGGACCAAGTTTAGATATTAAGTCTTTCTGTTAAGTCTCAGTAACAATCCGGAGTTGGAAGTTGGCGGTGTTTCACCCTCGTGCCTCGGAGAGCACGTAAAGCCGTCCTGCGCCGACACTCTCACCGGTCGTGTCTCGTGTCGCCCCACCAGAGTATGAGAGTGACAGGAACAGAGAGTGCACGTTGTGTCTGAGCGTATACTTGTGCGCTATAATATCTCCTGCGCAGTTGGCTAGTCTAAGTGAGATTGGCCGCCGTGGAATCGGTCGGGAGGAGGATAATATATTAAATACTCAAACTATTGCAATTTAAAATAATTATAACTGACACACATTAATAAATATACTTATTTCTAAGGTATATAGTAATATTAGTTAAAAATAAAACTCACCTTGCAACACTGATATTTTATTTAAGAAGTCATTAATATTAATAATTTCACACAAATAAAATGTATTCTAAATAACAGGAAGTATTTCATTTGCTTATTTTAGACGGAATGAATCACAAAAAAACTAAACTCTATTTTTCTAAATATATATTATTTTTAATATTTCATAATTTATTTCTTTGGAAATTACACTTAACTTTTATCTCTCTACAATACTTTGAAACCATCTTTTTCGATATACAACATAAAAAAGATATTATTTTCATATTAATCTAAATCTAAAGCAAAGAAGTACATAAAATTTATAATAATATAATATGTTAAGATATATTATAACATGCTATGTAAGTATGTAATACCTGGACAATCGAGCTTTCCTCGGCGTTTTTTTTGTCGAAAAAGTGTTTTTTTTTTCGCGTTTTTTTCGAAAAAGTTACGTTTTTGCAGAAAAGACACTTATGTAGATAAACTTAAAAAGCAAAACTTTACCTAAATAGAAAGCTCCAAATCGTTAGAGCCGTTTTCGAGATACATGAAATAAATGTATAATATATCTTAGTTTACTCAAAGCACAAAATTTTAGTTACTTAATTGACTAGTAAATGCTTAAAATTAAAATGCTTACTGTATATAAAGTACAAAAAATAAATAATGTAGTTAAATAAAAACAAACAAACAAAGTGGTAGCCCAATAACGTTTTCGCTTGGGAATCGAGTGAAGCGGGTTCCAATCCGGTCTCCCACCTTTGATGTTTATTTTCATGTGAGAATCGTTTCTAACATAATTACCACTTGTCTTACGGCGATGGAAAATATCGTGAGAAAACATGCAAGTCTGAGAGAATCTAGCAAGTTTTCCAAAGACTTTTAGTCCTCCCACCCGTAGTTGGCCAGCGTGGTGGGCTATGGCCTGATCCCTCGTATTAAAGGTAGGCCCGTGCCCAGCAGTGGACGTAAATAAGAGCTGAATACATAAAAATAAAAGCAAATACTGCATTTCCATATAGCACAAGTGCAGTGACGCGTCTTATAATTTTTAGAAAAATAGAAATTTTACTTAATCTAAAGTAATTTAATAAATCTTTGTACTTGTAAAATATTGGTGGTAAATAAACTAAATATTACTTTTATTTACAATTTTTACTATTTATTTCTTAACAATGAATAGATATTGCACGAGAACATCCCTATTATGAGTGATATTAGAGATTAGAAATTTACTTTTTCATTAAATTAGAGGTTAAAATAAACTAAACAAAACCTTAGGTTTTATATTACGGTATAAATATTTCATATATTTTTTTTTGTAAGATCCTGAATTTTATATCGAAATAATCATAATTTTAATAAAATAATGATTTTGAAAACAACTTATTCTAAAATATCCACTTAATAAAAGAGCCATTTTTGAAAACTTAGAATCTACAAAATATAGAGACTCTATATTATCAAATTTCATTCCAAAAATAACTTACACGAAATAGCACCAGTCTAAATCCAGTGCAACATAATTAGCAAAAAAAAAAACTAAAATAAAACTACATTTTTCAATCAAATTTAAACCTTAAAAATTCTAAAATGGAGAGGATTTTTCTACTACAATAATTTTTAACTCTATCCTCATAAAAATAATTGGACTTAATCGTTAATAACATTCACAAAATATGTCATGTGCACTCTATCGTTGGGAAATGTCGTGGTTTATTTTCTAAGAAGATGGTCGAATTCAAGACTTACCTATTGTAATTGTACCCAGTTATGCAAAAAACCTTTTTCTAAAAATATTTTTCGGTCGATAGTTGCACTTGGGTTATGTTTTGTTTTTCTGGTTAGTTTAAAATTAAACAATATTTATATAAGTATTATTTATTTTTTATAATTATTTCATTTTTTATAATAAAATGCTTATAACTCTATTGGTACTTTTTCGCACATGGCTGTTTTTTGCATAACTGGGTCCAATTAAGAAACTAAATATCTCTTTTAAATAAAACTACCTTTTGGAGATTTTCCACCATGATTGCTGTAAAGCATTCGAAATGTCGGGAATCTAAAATCAAAATATTTCCACGAACAAAACCCGAAAAGATAGTTTTATTGAAAATGCCAAATATTCGCGTAAATCTAAGAAAGTATTATTTATTTCTTATTTAAATATAAACTACGTTAAAACAGAATCTACTTCTATTAATCTCAAGCGTGACACCAATCGTTGCTGAATTAAAGGAAAATACGCATTGATTAGATTTTCAATTCCAATCAGAGGGCTTTAACAAAATGATGTTCTGTAACGAATTTTTAAAAATTGTTTCGAAATGCATCATATACTTATATGCTTATATACATATATATATATATATATATCTTTTATATTTCCTATTGGCTATTTCTTATTATCAATCTAGGTACGTTTTAAATAGATATAAATAGTTATCAGCCAGCGTTAGCCATATAATTTTTTTTTGTTAGTAATATTGACAAATATTTATACGATACTAACGTCACTCAATTGTTTTGCCTTCCTGGACCTCTCCACTAACACTTAAACTTTATGGTATCGTATTAAAGTTCAAATTGACTTTTAAGTATTATTACGAATCTTTTGTATGGGAGTATAGAAAAGTGTTGTTTTTAGACTTTTTCAGGCAATTTTTTAATTTTTTCTCTCCGTAAGAACCATCCTCGTACTTCAAGGAATATTCTAAAAAAAGAATTAGCGAAATCGGTTCAGCTGCTCTCGAGATTTGCGCTTACCAACACATTTAGCGATTCATTTTTATATTATAGATTAAAAAAAAGTCTTTTCCAAGCCCTCAAATTGTTTATATAAAACTAAATACATCTTCAAATTCTAAAAAGGCAGCAAGTAACATCGTTTTAAATTATAGTATATTTTTAAATTAATATGTTATATTGAATATTAATACGATTGGTGACGCCTTAACAAAGGTACGTGTAAAATACAATTTACCTCAAAAGTGCAATTATATGGTAGTGACTTAAGCCGTCTCTCTTCCTTTGTCCTGCGACTTGATGGAGTGAGCGAGCCACAGAGCTAGAACGATGCCGGCCACCTGTAATAATATTAATTTTATTTATTTATTTAATCTTTATTAAACAAAAAAAAAATACAAATAAGGTACACTGACTTCAAAATTAATTAAAAAAATATTTTTCCACCCTCACCGGTGGATTTTTAAAAAGTCATTAATTTTATTTAGGTATTTATTTAACCTTTATTAAACAAAATAATGCAAATAATGTAATCCGATTTCAAAATCGGTTAAAAATTTTTTACCGGTGAATTATTTTGGTGGAAAAACTAGTTCACAATATTAGCAAAGATATCATGTTACATATACACAAAAATATGCAGACAAATTGAATATCTACCTTTTGAAGTCGATCAAATATGAAATTTAAAGGTGTTCTTTAATACGATCTTATTAGCTTCTCTTTTAATAAATATTATAAAATATAATTAAATATTAGGTCGTTTCGACTTAATTCTATTTGTTATTTCAATATAACACTTTTTATTTTTATCATATCTGAAATCGAGCTGATTCATTATATAGCCGGAAGTGGATAAAGGAACTCTTCGATCGTGGGCTTTAGCTCATTTCACTCATTTTGACGAACAATTTCTTTTGTTTTTTTTTAATACTAGCAGTTAGCTTTGTTATAAATACATTTTGGAAGATATAAAAAAATCAAAATTACAGACGTAAAATGTGTAAAATTGCTATAGATTGTATCGATAACGTACAAACAGATTTCTTGATTGTTTATTGTGTCTACTGATGCTAACATTTATTACTAACTAAGCGAGCGATTATTTGGTGATTACAATCGCCAACGTCCATACCACGTTGAACACACCGGTTCTCGTCCGATCACCGAAGTTAAGCAACGTCGGGCGCGGTCAGTACTTGGATGGGTGACCGCCTGGGAACACCGCGTGACGTTGGCTTTTTTGTTTATTTCGTCTGCTAACAGTTATAAAACAAGAGAACTTCCGAGCCGGTGGTAGCTTCCTCACGGACTGACTACAGTGAGATTTAATTTTTATTTAACATGTAAAATTGACGATTCAAAAGAGCTTGTAAAGTCTATTTGAATAAAATATATTTTGATTTGAGCTTTAACTAAACATGGTTAAGCAACATTGGGCGCGGTCAGTTTGACAAGAACAACAATTAGCAGACACGCGTTGCTGTGGCACACTTATAACTTCGTAAGCTAATGTCAATAAAATTAATTTCTCAGGTTCTCTATCCCGAATCCCCTTCCGGATATGACAATCGTTAATATTCTAATAGAAAGAATGAAAATAATCAGGATAAAAACTAACCTATCTTTTAACTTGGAACAAATCACACATTTAAAAAAATACGTTAAAATCCGATAAGTAGTTTCGGAGTTCATCGCGGACCAACATCGTGACACAGGATTTTTACTAAGATAAGAATTGGAACACTGAACCTGCTAATTAAAACTACTCCTACTAAGCTACTAAAAACCAAGATAATTTCAAACTTACTTCCAAAAAGCAGAACAGAATGCCACACACTATAACCATCAGGCCGGCACTATGTACGGTGCTAAGCACCTTGTCTTCACAGCCCTCTTGGTAATACTTCGATAGGGAGATGCAATCTGAGCGTTTGATCTCATCAGCTCTGTCCGAGTCGTCGGGAGGACAGCAACTAAAGGAAGGATTCAAACGAGGCTCGGAAGCTACATAGTTATCTGGTCCAGTAACACCGCAGCATTCCAACTGTGAATATTTAAATAACAAAAATTATTATGTATAGAAAGATTTTATTAGCTGAGTTTCACTAATAGAGTAGCTGAGTGACACTTTATTTGAACTGCTTATTTAATTAAATATCAGGGGATTTCATCAGGAAGACAGAAGATTTAGTTTAAATAAAATTCAATAGATGGTGTTATATGTATCGGCAGAAAAATGTGTAGCTTTATTATGAAAAAAAAAATATGGCGTTTCTTGCATTTGAGTTGTCAAATGAACTCATTTCCAAACTGCCATGATCATCGAAAATTTAATTTATACATTTTGAAAAAAAGTACAAATATATTTGTTTAAGACCGAGTCAAGTACCCGGTTCCGGCATCATATTGTTTCACCTGTCTCACTATAGAAACGAAATTGTAATATTTTTTATACCGGTTCATTGACTGGGCATTTGTTGTATTTCTTAATGAAACACCGAATTCATAGATTTTATTTTCCGAATTGAACTAAAAGTAAAAATACTATACCATGAAATAGCGATCTACGTAAATTATTATTATAAGAGCTCTCACAAACTGGAAATGGAAGACTTTCTGTTAGCCAATATAGTTAGGTCAAATTCAAAATTAATCAAAAGAAGTTGAAACGTAGTTGCAGTTGGAAATATACATGTGCTAGCATATAAATAAAATAATACTTACGCTGCTCTGAACACGGTCCCAGAACTCCCTATATGTGGTATCTTCCTCCCGAGTGGACTTGTTTTTGATGAACGATGCCCTGAGTTGGTTCTTCATGGTGCCTTCTATTTGCGGGCGTAAAGCTGCCGCCGCGATACCAACGGAAAGTTCCAGCAAGATGATCAGGATTAAACAACCGGCAAACTGGAAGAAAAATACAATTCTTACTACAATTCTTTTCGCCAATACAACATTTTACGTATATATACGTAAAATGTTGTATGTTGTATTTTTGTAATGTGTTGGAACAGTATACTGTTCTAAATGTGTAAGGTAATCTATACAAATAAATAAAATTGAAGTGTAATGTTAAAATTACAGCTTTTTACTATTAAAGGCATATGAAATTATATACGGTACTTAAAAGTACTTAAAGAACTTTTTTTAAAAAATCTGTCTGTCTGTTTCATCCGGCTAATCTCTGAAACGCCTGGACTGATTTTGACGGGATTTTTACTGGAAAATAGTTGATGTTATTAGGAGTTAATCTTAGGGTTCGGTTCAAAAAAATCAAATCGCTCCTAGGGACGTACCTGAGCCAAGCGGTAGTCGCTAGTAATATACATAAATTTTTGGTATTTTAAGTATTTGTTTTGGTTTCCTGGTAATATAAATATTGTAATGTATTGAGGTTACCGCTAACGATCACTATGTAAGCGGAAGTAAAGGAATGCCTTGAAAGATTGTATATTTTATATAGTGGTATATTTTCGCTTGCTCCAATTATGTTGTTCGTGTCATTTTCTTTGTAGGTTAATCGTTTTTTTTACCACCAATTTAATTTACCAATTTTATGTGTCATTCATGTTTTTTACAAATGGGCGAAATGCAACACAACTTTTTGTTTTTATAAACTGTATATCACATAGTTTTACCTTAACTAAATTTAACCATTGATAAGTTCACTGTACCATAAAAATGCCCAGAAATAGTAATATAAAACAATGTTTTAATCAGAAATATAAAAACTTACGATATATAACAGCTTCGGGCTTTCCTTCCAAGCGCCAAAGCAACCGAAAGCTGCTACAATGATGATGAGCACTCCCACTACGATCAACACTATGTCAGTTTCATGGCCTGTTGTTTCCATACCAGCAAACCCCTTTATCATACCCATATCCACACATGCTGAAGATATGATTATGATGCCAAATATCTGGAACAAAAAAAAGAAAAACTAGTTATCTATGGCCAATAACTAAAAACTAGGAACAGTCAAATTCTAACTTGTGAAAATATTTTTTTTTTCAATTTTTGGTCTTTTCTCTGTCTGCTTATTTTTTATCGAATCACTAGAGAATGGATGTAAGGGAGTGGATTTTTTTATTGTGCTAGTAATAGATTCCAATATATAAAATGGTCAAGTGCGACTACATATATTTCATACCATAGAGCTTATCTTATGATGGAACCACCAGGTGAACTTTTGAGCTTAAACTCATTTTATTCTTTATGACTTATAGTTAAATATAGGTTTTTTAATTTTTCGATGTGAAGTGTCAAAAACCGTCTCGTGCAGAAATCGAACTTGCTACCTCGTTTTATTACACGTTAACGATATCATTGAAATAATAAAACTTAAATACCAATTACAAATCGTTTATATGAAGTCTTATTAAATTTAATTTGCATGCAAGAAGCCTGCACGCAGCCATTAATGTCGCATTAAGCTTATTAATCTGACCAACGCTTGATATTTTACTTCTGTTTCGATTAACTCAGTCGAATCAAAAAAGCTTTGTTATTTTAAGCTGAAGTTTAAACATATATAAACAATAATAGGGAAATTAATGGAAATCTAAATACTTAATCTTAATCCATACTTATATATTATAAATGTGAAAGTGTGTTTGTTTGTTTGTTTGTTTGTTTGTTTGTTTGTTTGTTTGTTTGTTTGTCTTTCTTTCACGTCGAAACGGCTTGACTGATTGGCGTGATTTTTTGTGTGCCGATAGTTGGGGGGCTGGAGAGGGACATAGGCTACGTTTTACCGCGGGAGATTATCTCTTTCCCACGGGAAAGCACCTTATAATACAGTCCAAAAAAATATTCATGATCAGAATTACTTGATAGTTGGTATTATTGCTCTTCAATACAATTAATTAAATAGGTTTTTTAGAATTTTTCGAAATTCATCCCATAAGGGGGTAAATAGCGGATGAAAGTTTGTATGAAACCTACCATTTTAGAGTCTCTTTGAAGTTTTAGCGCAACCGAAGCTGCGGGTTCCACTAATACACTTAATACACAAAGATAATAATTTGACTAGAAGTGCTTAATTATTTTTAGTAAGTTTAAAAGCCAAATAATTTTATAGAAATTTGTTCTGCTTTAAATGGCCAGAACTTTTGTGGCCAACTTCAAAAAAGTTTGTTTTCATTTTTTCGGTACATTGTACATACATATATTATGTAATATCTCCAACTGTAAACCGATTTTCATGGTTCTTTTATGTTGTTTTGTTTGCTTGGATACGTCAATTTGCGGAACACGTACAATCTATATTCTTTGTCTGCTTATAGCATATTTATTAAGGAATATTATAGGCTATTTAACATCATATTACTTACGACCCGTAGTAAAAACCATGTGGCCGGAACCACCAGCGGACGTTAAAACTACCGTAAAATAAAAGTTTAGTGCCGTATTTATGAGCTTAAAAGCTTATAAGCTTATAAATTCGGCTGTTAGAAGAAAATATCTATAATTATACGAAGAAAAGCTACTCTTTTGACTGTAGTTGTTATAAATATACAGTTCATAGAAATAAAGACATAAATTTTGTTATATTTATGAAGACCTGTAGGTGTTTGAAGTACACTCGAATAAGCGCTTTAAGCACACTCGAATGTTCACTTGGAAATATAAGAGTCTGTTTCAAAATACTTTGAACGATCCGATTACGAAGTTGTGATCTCTTACAATGGATATTAAGCAATGTCTTATGTTTCGTTAATTCACAAAGCATGACGAATGAATGTTTATATATAAATAAAAAATCACTGTATGTGATTTTGTAATAAGTGATTTTTTCATATGTTCTATGATTTATGTGGTACCAAAAAATAAAAAACCTTATTTTTTTTAAACTACTTATTATCTAGGTAAATTTTGTGTTTACCAATTAACCACAGTTCTCATTGGTATTAGTCAAACACTTTTTTAGATTTACGCGAATATTAGACATTTTAAATTAAAAATTATTTTTTTTTTTGGTGTAAAGCATTCGAAACGTTGGAAACCAAAAATCTAAATAAATCCGCGAAAATATTCGAAAAATTTGTATTATTTAAAATGGTATCAGTGTACCTATTGCAAATTTTTTTTAGGGATGGGTCTTATTAAAACCAGGCACATCACTAGTTGTATTTGTGACGTTTATCCTCCAATCATCATTGACGCGCGATTCCTCTTTTGTACAATTCACAATTTAATTTCATAGAGTAAAGTGTAAACGGCGTTTTAATTGCCGTCCTAATTATCGTAAATTTTTAGTTCTACCAGTAGGTAATATTTACGTGTCATGCCATCAACTGTCAGAAGTAAGCCATAACTAAAAATAGGTCATTTTAATCGTTGTGTCCAATCTAACACATAATTTAATTTTTTTATAAACTCCTGAGTAAATTAGGTTCCTAAAAGGCAAATAAGCATTAAAATAGGTTAGTTTGGAGAAAAAACTTAATCTAATGGACCGTCTTGATAACTTAGTTTTAATAACAGAAAAAATGTGATAATATCGTTATATATGAATGTTATTTGTATGTGCTTAAAATGTACTTAAATCGAAATTTTATCAATTATTTTTTGCACAGATTAAATAACATAAAAAATACGAGTAAAAAAAAACTAGGTAAATTTGGAGAAATCTGTACTATATCATCGCTGATAGATTCAAAGAATCAAATTTAATGAAATTATGACAAGTAGTGTCACATGAAAATCTTCATATTTTCAAATCTTCATATATTGCATGCTAACTATGAATTTATTTGAATTATTAGCAATTCATCGTTCTTGCCGTCATAATATAAAATTCTAATTTAATAAAATAATGAGACTCTTTTGAGCATTTTGCCTATATATTTATTATTTCTTATAGCTATATATTTAGCCATCCTCGTCCACTTGAAAATGTCATCTGTATGAGTTTTAGGAGCCACATCATCGAATAACATAAATTGTGCTGTTACAATACAATATTTGAAAATGTATGTTAAATCGTGAATTAAGTAAATCTAAACGTTCACTATAATTACAACAATATTTTGACATTTTTATATTTGATATATAAAATCGTGAAAATTAAACATATTTTCTGAAAAGATATCGTAAAAAATAAATTATGGTGGTTTGCTATGTCCAAACCCATGGTAGTAATGTTTACGAACCACGCCATTAGCTTATAGGAGGTCATGCAAATGGGTCACTTTGAACACTGAAAGAAAGAATTATTGTCGTGGCAGTAGTTATTACGTGATTTTATAACCATCTGGTGTATATTAATATAGCTGACTCTTTGTAAGGATATACAATATACATATACAAATCTGAAATTGAAGTCGAATATAACAATTCATTTGAAAGTTTGTAGTATTTTTTTTGACCAACTTTACAAGAAAAGAGGTTCTCACTTTGTCTGTATTTTCTTTTTGTTTTGTGGGTATGCTACGTACTATCTTTACCAATTGGTAATCGATTTTCGTTATTATAATTTGAATGAATAGGAAATTAAATTATTTAAATTAAATTATTTAATTTCCATTTCGTTATTATAATTTTAATAATATTACCTAAAACCCTTTAGGTAACATATAAATTATTAGGTCTTTTTCTAACGTTAGAACAATTATTATATACTTTGATGAGTTTCGGAAATGTTAAGAAAATGGAAATGAAACACACTATATTAAACAGACTAAAAATTCATATAAAATATAAATTGACTGACTAATTGACATAACAGATTAAACATACACATATACTTCATTCAATTATGAAGGATGTAGATAAGCCCACAATAAAGCATTAATGCCTTTTAAATTAGGATGTACCAAATTACTGGCTGTAAATGTTTGAAATTAAAAGTTACATTATCTATTAGCGATCAGCAGATGTAAAATTTCACATTTGCATGTGAATGGGTTGACCGATATCACCCACAGAGCGCGTTGGCGCGGCACGTGGGCTTTCAGCGCGTACGCACAAGGTTATCTAAAATCTCTCTTATCTCATAAATCTTCATAATAATTTTAATATGAAAGCTTTATGATGAGAGGCTGTAGACTACTTTTAGTCTCTGTGGTGATATATCCTTAGTAGTGTAGGATACTAGTAGTAATCTATCCCACGGGAACCGTACATTTTTTCGGTATAAAAACTAGCCTATGTGTTATTCTGACGTATGAACTATATTATTGTAAAGTCTCGTTAAAATCCGTTCAGTAGTTTTTTGCGTGATAGAGTAACAAACATCCATATATCTATGCATCCAGACATTAATACATCCACTGTATGTTAGTAGGATTTAATATCCTATTAATTTGTTATAAAAAGTAAGTCAGGGACGGATTAACGAAAAATCTTGAAATTCGATTCACAGTTCGCGTAAATATCGTATAACAGCTCTAAAAACAAAAACAAAACAAAAAAGTCGATAACAAATTTTCTAATAATTTTCAATAGTTTAGAAAACGTCGTTCACAATCCTAAAGGTATATAGAAAAAATGATAAATTATAATACATAAAATACTAAAAGTACTAACACTAATAAGTTAAAGTTTCCACTATCTTTTCTTCTAAAATGAATATTTGGTTAGTAGGTAGGAACAATAATATTTCCAAATCTATATAAATAGCATACGTTTGGCGCTTCAATTAAAATGGATCGACCTTCAAACGATTGCTCTATATGTCACAATAACAAACGGCTCTCATTTAAAGTTAGTGCATTGTTGAAAAACATAAATTCCAATAAATCGCTTGAATTGTGTTTAGAAAATCTATCAATTATCTATTTTTGCTTGAAAAACGACTTCCTGTAAATGTTTAACAGCTGGTGATAATGATTTAGAATCATACATCATAATACTTTCTTAGATTTGCGCAAATATTTGACATTTAATAAAAGTATTTTTGGCGGTTTCGATTACTTT